TCCTTGTATTTATGCTTCAAAGTTCAACTTGTCATTTCAACTAACCTCAATTATTTTCTATGTTTTGTTTATGTTTACTATGGTTGCTAGTAGTTGTACCCAGTTGTACCCACTCGGTTATTTTAGAAATAGCGGCTTTTACCTTTTATTTCGCCTTTCCGAACATTCGAAGTACCAATAGTAGCACACGGATTATTTGTTCGTTTTCTGTTCGTTTTAAGTTCAATATTTCTTGACTGAGAATGGACGTGTTGAAGAAAAGACAGAGACTTACCGATCACGATGATTTAGTGCTCTTAAGAGAAGTCTTGGGGCTCGACCCATTTGAGGATTCTGCATTGTGGCTCACTATTCAGGAACATATTTGCAGCATGACAGGCAAAACGTTCAATGTAAGAACTTTAAGATGCCGTCTAGAGCTCTTGATTAAGCTTTGGCTAGATCATTACAAAACTTTGAAAGATAAGTAAGTACATTGGAGGGATACGGGATACCTACCTACCTATAATGCTGCACTCTGCACTGAATTTTTACATTCCAATTATTGTGCCTCTGATAAAATATCTTAAAAGTTCATTTTCAATGTTGGGTTACATAAAGTTTAGAAGTTACCTAAGTATTGGATGTAATTTCCAGTAAGTAACTGGGCGTTATAAGTAATCAGCACACTATAAAAAAGTTATAGAAATATACCTAGTTCCTGTAGCTGTGTTTTTTATTCATTATAATTTGAAATTACAGATCAGGAATAGAAGTAACTGAGACAGAAAAAGATATATTATGCCATAACATCTATGACATAATGAAAGAATGCAAACAAGAAAAAAGGAAAAAGACTCCAGCAGCAGGCAATGAAAGAATGGGAATAGAGGCAAGAAAACAATGGACAGCTTCATTACAGAAACCTCAAGAGCTGCAAGAAGAAGCTCATGTAGGTTCCGCAGATTTAGTTTTAGAGGACCATGTGGTGGTTGATGATCACAGCTGTAGGTGTTTCATGCTTCCGTACCTATAATTTGCTTATTTATTCATTCATTCATTCTTTCATCATTAGTTATTTAGTTGAAATTCATTGATAGGTTTACTGAGAAGATTATAGTTTCTTTGTTTTTACCTTCGATTTTTTTTAGATACCAATGTACAGGGAGAAGAGATTATTATTGAATTTGCTGATCTAGATGAAAAAACCTCAGATAATACAGGTAATTAACTGTATATAAAAAGTGTACATTTGGAATTTGCCTAATTATTATCTCACTCATAAAGTTTATCATTCAGTGAAATATTTTCGTTCCAGTTTTAACTGATGTGTCAAACATCCTAGGAGGTATAAGTGAAAGTAACAATGAAGCAGGATCTTCAAAAACTCCAACATCCCATAATGCTCCCACAAACAAAACAAATTTTGAAGCTTCCACCTCCAAGTCAAAAGTTTTCGGTATGTAAGACTTTAAAATGCTTAGATGAAAAAAACTGTTGAAAACATCCAAAGGGAGTGTCAATCATGCAGCTGCAGCGCTAAAGACGCACTGATTGACACTCCACCTTAATATGTACTAATATTAAAACATTGAATCAAATTTATTCTAATTATTTTAAACATATTGACTGTTTCAGGTGCAGTAAGATCTAGAAAAAGGAAGATAACTGCACAAAAACAAGGGCTTGAGTATCTTCACCAGTATGACAAACAACAAGCAGAAATGAAGAAAAGGGAACTTGATATTGCAGAGAGAAAATTATTGATTGAAGAGAGAAAAATGGATCTAGAGGAGAAACAATTTCTTTTAATGGAATTTAAACTGAAAAAAAAATTGGAGTTGCAGGAAAAACAAATGACATTCGAAGCAGACGAACGGAAGAGTCTGAAAGCAATTATAGAAAAACAGGATACTCAAATACAGTTTCTTTTGAATAAACTGATCCAAACTTGAATAGCTACCGACTACCTATAAGTATTTCTTCCTCGATTTCTACTATTTCTAGCAGAAATATAATGTATAATGCAGCTGATGTATAAACAATTTCCATTTTAATTTCAACTATCACTTATAATATTTTGAAATAAACTGTAAAAAAACTAAAAAAGATTTTTTTTCAATTTGCACAAATATTGAAATAGTTATTATCCTAACAAGTGCGGAAAGTTATACTTTCCCGCACGCGACTGCGTTGCCCGAACGACGCGGAGCGGAGTTCGGGCAAGCAGTCAAGTGCGGGGAAGATACTTTCCGCAAGCGTTAGGATCAAGATTTTTTCTACAAGCAAAAAAAGACACTTCATAATGTTCTTTAAACTCAATTGTGGATAAAAAACCATTCAAAAATTTGAATAGACGCGATGGTGACATTTGTAATGTCAACTACAGGACAAGCAGGTGAGTTTGTCGTTGTTTTAGGCAAGGTTTTAGGTAAATTTTATAAATGTGTGCGGGAAAAACTTTTTCCCGCACGCCGTGCGGGAAAGAGCTGGTTTCCGAATTGAATTGCGTGCGGGAAAGTGACGTTTTACGCATGCTTGTAGAAAAAAGTTATGTCCATGTTAATTTTTTATTTATTTTTTTTTTAAATTTTGAAATGTACCTATTTAAATCAAACTAACAAAATACATAAGTTTACTTTATTTTTAGTTCAAAACCGTGAAATCGTTGACCAAGCTCAGTAAATAAATAAATTATTGATGCCTACAGGCTAATTGTTGAAACCTAGGTACTGCTCTAGCTGAACCGGAGCTATATTGAAAAAACTAGCACTCTGATTACCGTAAAGACAAGAATGACAGTTTGTCAGAATAGTTGCTGTTTTGTACATTTCTTGTACATCTTGCAACAAAATTTTTTGATTTTTTTTGAAATCAACAAAGGCAAACAGCATTATAGTTTTTTGAAAACTCCATTCAACTGCTTGCCGAACAACAGACATGGAGGCATTAAAATTTCTTTCTGCATCATTGGCACCTTGACCAGGAAATGGGCACAACAGCAGCTCCCCTATTCCATAGGCCTGATCCCCAAATAGAACAAAACTAGTTCCATCTGGCCCTCTCGCATTTTGTTCCAGTTGATTATATAACCCAGACTCTCTTAAATTCCCTGCATCATGCCTTCGCCCAGGAAAGGTCCCCATAAGACTCACAGTTATGCCATCTGGACAAACCACTGCCTGATATTTTACACAATGAAAGTGTTTGTGTCCCGAATAATATTCTTCTTGATCAATAGTAGGTCGACATGTTGCTCTGGCAGTGCCATCTATGAAAGCCCAACAATTCTGAACAGCAGCACCTTTCGCAGTTATAGCCTAAAAGTTAATTGTAATTCGGAGGCATCATAGCAGGAGAATACCTATCTTACTTGTGTATATTGTGCAAGACGGTTATAGTCCAACCAATCTAAATTAGTAAAATAATCGTTAACGAAAGAAAATGTATGATTATGAGATTGGGAACAGCAGACGCAGTCGTCAAAACTTGAAAACTGATGTTTTCAACGTAAGCACAATCTAGAGGCTTCAAAAACTGAAATAGGGGATAATGCAATACCTTATTTTGTACCGAATGCGCATGCCCCATTTAACGTTTAGTGTATAATGACTAGTCAGAAAATGATGGCTTAAAATCTCTCTAATAAGTCTAATGCGTTCCCTTACATAAGGTTATTGGCAGATCTATGTGAATACAGGTTGAGGGTGTATTCAACTCTCGTCCCATTTGCCCACTCTCATCCAGCCCTTCTGATTTGGAATCTATCACTTCAGAACTTTTTCTGATAGGACGCTCTCTTATCGTACTTCCAGAAAAGGACTTAACACAAATAACAAAAAATCGGCTAAATTCGTACAAACGATTAGAAAAAATCCGTCAACACATATGGCGTCGTTGGTCGGTCGAATACATAGCTGAGCTACAGATCCGCCACAAGTGGAAGCAAAATCAGAACAATATTAAATTAAACAGTCTCGTAGTGATAAAAGACAAAAATGAGCCGCATCTCAAATGGCTTCTTGGTTGAGTATATACATTTTACCTCTAAATCCCATATTACTTTGCTTATATAATAAAATATCAAAACTAACAACACCGAAAGCCCTACTTAGGTACTTAGGTCAACAAACACTGCAACAAAGGTCTTTTCATTATCCAAAGATGTTGCTTATCTATAAGATTAAATTATTTGGTGATTTCTAAAAATTTTTAAAACGACAATGAACAGTTTCAGATATGGCTACACGTAAAATATTGCCATCTAGAAGTTGTGATTCTCCAGAACTCAATACATTTTAAATATTGCCATTTAGCAGTTGTGATTCTGCACAACCCAGTACATCTAAAATATTGCCATCTAACAGTTGTGATTCTTCACAACCCAGTACATCTAAAATATTGCCATCAAGCAGTTGTGATTCTGCACAACCCAGTACATCTAAAATATTGCCATCTAACAGTTGTGATCCTCCACAGCCCAGTTCATCTGGCGCCAGGAATTTTAACGCGCCTGGAATAAGTAGTATGAATTATAATGATGGTAGGTCGATACTTTAGGTTTCAATTTAATCCGGATGACAATAATTATTTCAGCCCCTTATTTAGCATTTGTTGAGCAGCCAGCCAACAAATTTCGTTTCAGATATAAGTCTGAAATGCTGGGTACTTATGGTTGCCTTAAAGGTATAACCTCTGATGGTACAAGAAACCCAACTTATCCTACTGTTGAGGTGATAAAAGAAATCCGATGTTATCTAAAAACTCTGGTGCCATGGCCCATGATAAGGTGCTCAATATACAATATTATTAAAGATTTTAATTCTCATCCCCATAAACTTGTAGTGAAATATGGCAGAGGGGAAAATTGAAGATCCCCTCCATCTTCGCGTTAGACCTGTAGATGGATTTGCTGCAAGACAAGGCAGTTTTCAATAAGAAAAAGCCTTTTTTTTAGGTTCGGGGGCATGAGGATCATACATACTCCCAGAAGAAATATTGTGCAGGAATTGGTCAAGAAAATGTTAATACTAAAAGAAGAATTAATTGCCAGATGTGAGGGTATGAGGAGGGCGCTAACAGCTAATGAAATAGAAGAGGTAATACTTATATTCTGAATAGTGACAATGTACAGTTTCAGATATGGCTACATGTAAAATATTGCCATCTAGAAGTTGTGATTCTCCACAACCCAGTACATCTAAAATATTGCCATCTAGAAGCTGTGATTCTCCACAACCCAGTACATCTAAAATATTGCCATCTAGAAGTTGTGATTCTTCACAACCCAGTACATCTAAAATATTGCTATCTAGCAGTTGTGTGTCATCCAAAAATTAAATAATTGTTTATTTCTAGCTGGTAAATTACTCTGAAAGTGCCATGATAAGGTGCTCAATATACAATATTATTAAAAAACATTTTAATCCTCATCCCAATAAACTTGTAGTGGAATATGGCAGAGGGGAAATTGAAGATCCCCTCCATCTTCGCGTTGCACCTGTAGAAGGATTTTTTGCAAGGCAAGGCAGTTTTTCTTTTCAATAAAAAAAAATGGATTTTCTTTTCCAGGTTCGAGGCATGGGGATCATACATACTCCTAGAGGAAATATTGTGGAGGAATTGGTCAAGAAAATGTTAATACTAAAAGAAGAATTGATTGCTAGATGGGAAGGTATGAGGAGGGCGCTAACAGCTAATGAAATAAAAGAGGTAATAGTTATATTCTGAATAGTGACAATGTACAGTTTCAGATATGGCTACATGTAAAATATTGCCATCTAGAAGTAGTAATTCTCCACAACCCAGTACATCTAAAATATTGCCATCTAGAAGTTGTGATTCTTCACAACCCAGTACATCTAAAATATTGCTATCTAGCAGTTGTGTGTCATCCAAAAATTAAATAATCGTTTCTTTCTAGCTGGTAAATGTCTAAAAGTGCTCAATATACAATATTATTAAAGAACATTTTAATCCTCATCCCCATAAACTTGTAGTGGCAGAGGGGAAATTGAAGATCCCCTCTATCTTCGCGTTGCACCTGTAGAAGGATTTTTTGCAAGGCAAGGCAGTTTTTCTTTTTAATAAAAAAAATGCATTTTTTTTTCAGGTTCGGGGGCATGGCGATCATACATACTCCCAGTAGAAATACTGTGGAAGAATTGGTCAAGAAAATGTTAAAACTAAAAGAAGAATTAATTGCCAGATGTGAAGGTATGAGGAAGGCGCTAACAGCTAATGAAATAGAAGAGGTAATAGTTATAATTTGAATAGTGACAATGTATAGTTTCAGATATGGCTACATGTAAAATATTGCCATCTAGAAGTTGTGATTCTCCACAATCCAGTACATCTAAAATATTGCCATCTAGAAGTTGTGATTCTCCACAACCCAGTACATCTAAAATATTGCCATCTAGAAGTTGTGATTCTCCACAACCCAGTACATCTAAAATATTGCCATCTAGCAGTTGTGATTCTACACAACCCAGTACATCTAAAATATTGCTATCTAGCAGTTGTGTGTCATCCAAAAAATAAATAATTGTTTATTTCTAGCTGGTACATTACTCTGAAAGTGCCATGATAAGGTGCTCAATATACAATATTATTAAAGAACATTTTAATCCTCATCCCCATAAACTTGTAGTGGAATATGCCACAGGGGAAATTGAAGATCCCCTCCATCTTCGGGTTGCACCTGTAGAAGGATTTTTTGCAAGGCAAGGCAGTTTTTCTTTTCAATAAAAAAAAGTGTATTTTCTTTTTCAGGTTCGGGGGCATGAGGATCATACATACTCCCAGAAGAAATATTGTGGAGGAATTGGTCAGGAAAATGTCAATACTAAAAGAAAAATTAATTGCCAGATGTGAAGGTATGAGGAGGGCGCTAACAGCTAATGAAATAGAAGAGGTAATAGATATATTCTGAAAAGTGACAATGTACAGTTTCAGATATGGCTACATGTAAAATATTGCTATCTAGAAGTTGTGATTCTCCACAAGCCAGTACATCTAAAATATTGCTATCTAGCAGTTGTGTATCATCCAAAAATTAAATAATTGTTTATATCTAGCTGGTAAATTACTCTGAAAGTGCCACGATAAGGTGCTCAATATAAAATATTATTAAAGAACATTTTAATCCTCATCCCCATAAACTTGTAGTGGAATATGCCACAGGGGAAATTGAAGATCCCCTCCATCTTCGGGTTGCACCTGTAGAAGGATTTTTTGCAAGGCAAGGCAGTTTTTCTTTTCAATAAAAAAAAAATGCATTTTCTTTTTCAGGTTCGGGTGCATGGGGATCATACCTACTCCCAGAAGAAATATTGTTGAGGAATTGGTCAAGAAAATGTTAATACAGGAGTCTCTGAAACTCATGTTAAGCAATAACCTGGTAGTTCGCTTTTGGGCTACAAAGACTGATTGTGTTGAAGAACTGACTCTCCAGAAAATGATACCGTACCTCATCCGAGACTCAAAATTTGCATAGTAAAGGATTTTTTTAACTTTGTCTTCTACATATTTGTTTAGTACTCTGAGTGCAAAACAAACACCATTCAATTTTTTCACTAAACTTTCAATGTATGTTGACCATTTTAGAAATTCGTCAACTATAACACCTAAAAAAAATACTAAAAGAAGAATTAATTGCCAGATGTGAAGGTATGAGGAGGGCGCTAACAGCTAATGAAATAGAAGAGGTAATAGTTATATTCTGAATAGTGACAATTTACAGTTTGAGATATGGCTACATGTAAAATATTGCCATCTAGCAGTTGTGATTCTGCACAACCCAGTACATCTAAAATATTGCTATCTGGCAATTGTGTGTCATCCAAAAATTAAATAATTGTTTATTTCTAGCTGGTAAATTACTCTGAAAGTGCCATGATAAGGTTCTCAATATACAATATTATTGAAGAACATTTTAATCCTCATCCCCATAAACTTGTATAGGAATCATACATATGTAACGTCACATTTTTGATTTACGACATTTCCTATTATGGAACCAGCACCAACACCTAAAGTTGAGTAGATTTACATTTTATTATGTAGCAACTATTTCAAGTACATATTTGCCAGTATAGTTATTTATTTATTATAACAGTCTTCATCAATTTGGTGACTGTTGTGATTTTGCAATTTTGGCTAGATGTGCAGCCTCCAAAATGTCGGGGTGCCAGGTTTCACATCGTCTGAGTCTGACATAATTTGGTTATGGGACTGTCTACAACTTAAGAGCTCGATGTCCAGGAAGTTTGAGGGAGCATTTCGGCCCTAAAAGATATATTATTAGTTCATAAAGGTAAATTTACGATGCAACTAGATCTACAAGGTTCCACTATTTACATCATTTAAACCTACAATAAAAATGTGTGTTAGGGCCTTGCTTTTGTATTTAATGTATCGATTACTTGCCAGTTTTATCAGAGCAGCAGGCCTTTGCTACTAAATTCCCTTGGATATTAATATTATCGGCCCTCTTATTAGATTTTCTCGGCAGTCGGTTGTTTACATCGATCAGCTGTTTGTTGCTATTCTATTGTTGCTATTAGTCAAATGTCAAATTGCGGTACAGCCAGCCGTTCGAAATCGAGCCATGATTTTTGATAAATTTCTGGTTAGCATGGCTTCTCGGTAGAGTTAGGCTGTGGTTTTTCAAGTTACCAGGTAGGGTTGGTTGTTCGGTGTTCGACCCTCATTGGTCAGCTGGGTTTGTGTACTACTTTTCGCACCGCGGAGTAACAAAAAATTGTTTTTATTTATAGAGGGTGTGTAAGTGTGACGGGGTAGATGGATCTGCAGACCTCCTTTTCTTCCGGTTCCTACGCCGATTTTCTTTGGATTTTCCTACGCCAAAGCTGTGGTGAGCCACGACACTCTGGTTTGAGTTCCCGACTTGTAAACACTTTTGTCCAAGAAAATTAAAATAAAATTGTGCTCCGTGCCTAAGCAACCTAATTTTGAGCCACAACGTATATTTTTGCTGGCATCATATTTGAGGTTGCTGCCGTGGAAATTATCCGAGTGTATTAGTGATTATTGCGGATTTCCACTCTCCTTGTTGGAGGATTCTTGTTGGCACGTGCTAGCACACCCCTTGGAGACCCTTAACATCGAGGCCCCATTCGATTCGGTTCTCGGCTTAGCTGGAAATTGGAGGAAATTATTGGTGAGTCAAGGTTTTCCTATTCTAAGGGCACATTCCTTTGCGATTTATTTCTGTCAACATGGCCGATTGAATAACGCCATTTTCTAATGAAATCTGTTGGAATTTGTCAGCTTCCCTGAGGGTTGAATCGATATTTATTGCTGGTCGATTATCTCTAAGCCACCTGTGTTCATTGACTTGGCGTTAGGTCAAGGTTGCTTCTGTTCGATCGGTGCCCCTGTACCCGTTGTTCCCGTTCTCGTTACTTTGGACTGGGTGTAACTGACATTTGGATAAAGAAAACTCTCAATAATTGAGGTGAGTTTATCTTGATTTTTCGGGTTTTTCCCATAGGGTTTTTATTAACTGGAATACTAAAGTCATGCTTTTATTCCAGGGTTTTTTTCTTACGGTTTTAAATCTACAAATCTACAGTTGCTTGTGGGTTGAGTCAAGTACAAGCGTGCCCTTGGAACCAACTAGGATTCCAAGAACTTCTTGAGATCCATGCTATCATGATCAGGTTTACTATAACCATTATTATTACTGTTATTTCCTTTTGCATTTATCATTAATTTAATTGACTGCTACCTGTTTAGTAGCAAGGTGGTTGCGCATATTGTGAACCAAGAGGTTATGACGTCATATCTTCCGGGCGGCGCTAATTGAATTTATATTTCACTTTTCACATTCCTTTAAAGTTGGAGTGGTTTGAATATTTTGTCAGTCGCGGTTGTTTAAACAAATTTATGCCTAAATATGGGTAATTTAATAAAGAAAAAGTACAGTATAAAGAAAAAAGGTCATAACACTGTGAAACAAATAAGATATTTACGCTTGATTATATGTATGTACACCCTACGACTAAAATAATAATTGTGTCGGTCCATAAGACCCTGTCAAGGGTTTTTTTTTTCTAGCTTAACAATAAATTGTCACCCAGTTCCAAATTATTTGTGTGGTTTCTCTATTGTTATTTTATTTTGTGGACCCATTCACAGCAAAGCAAGTACCTACAAGTGTATATATACTTGTCACAAAAAGTATCGCATAATTTTGAAACGGGAAAAAAATTTTAAATTAAATATCAATTTTTAGCAGTACATTTTAATGAACGTGTATGAACTCCTTTAGGTGTGTAAAAACCCATAATACACCAAAATTGAATCGTATTTTTTTGTCGTAGAAAAAAATTAAACAAAAAGGAATAAGAGATAAATTTTATTTATATTATCATTTGCGTTTTAAAATTTTCAGTGTGCAGTATTTGTTTGCTTTTTCATAAAGGAGGTGTATTCGGGTATTTTGACTAAAATATGGGTAATTTAACACCAGAACAAGCAGCCCAAATCGTGGCCTTAATTGAAGATGGACGATCGCAGCAATATGTTGCTGAAACTATGGGGATCAACCAATCCAGCGTTTCAAGAATTTTAAGAAGGTTTAGAGAAACTGGAGGTTACAATAGAAGGCCAGTTCCAGGACGTCCCAGGTGCACTAACCCTGTAGATGACCGGTATTTACGTCTGCAAACCTTGCGGGCCCGTCATGTTACAGCCAGGCAACTGCAAAATGTTCTCTCCAGGGTCCGTAATGTTCGAATATCGGTTAATTCGGTTAGAAACAGATTGAGAGAATTTGGAATTAGAGCTAGAATGCCTGTTACTGCTCCATTGTTAACCAGGGCACACCGTGTAGCTCGTTTAAGATTCGCAAGAGAACATGTTAATTGGGATATTAACGACTGGGCTGATGTTCTTTTTACGGATGAGTCGAGATATGCACTTTTCGGATCTGATAGACGTATTCCAGTTTATAGACGCGCAGGTGAGCGATTTTCTCAGTGTAACATAAGAGCAGCCAGAAATTTTGGAGGTGGCTCGATTATGATATGGGGAGGCATCTGCTTTGAAGGTCACACAGAGTTAACAGTGTTTCGTAGGGGATCTCTAACAGCTGATCGGTATATACGGGAAGTTCTTCAAGAAAATGTAGTGCCCTTTGTTCCAATTATTGGGAACAATTTTGTTCTTATGCAAGACAACGCTCGTCCGCACGTTGCCAGAATCACAATGCAATACATTGAAGATGTTGGTATTCAAGTTTCAGATTGGCCAGCAGTTAGTTCAGATCTAAACCCAATTGAACATGTTTGGGATTTCCTAGAAAGGCGCATAAGAGCTCGTAATATTGCACCAGACAACCTTGATGAGCTAGAAAATGCTTTGAGAGAAGAATGGGAAAATTTAGATTTGGAGTATGTAAGGGCTCTGATAAGAAGCCTTCCACGGAGAATGAGAGATGTTATTAGAGCCAGAGATGGCAATACCAGATACTAAATTGCTAAAACTTTCCGTGGAATTTCTTATTTTGTTAATTTGGATTCTTTAATTTTTCTTGAATACTTGTTATTTTCGAAATTTTTCCCTGTTATTCTTAGATTATTAATTTTAATTAAATAAAACACTGTCAAACATTCTTGAGTTTCATTACCTGCCATTTACAAAAAAAAATTAAGAGATAATAATAAAACTTCTAGTCACAATCTATTTATGCGATACTTTTTGTGACGAGTGTATAATCTTATTATATTATTTAATATTATATAATATTATTATCTCATATTAGGTAGCTAGGTTATTTATTCAGTTTTCAGGTTTAATTGGCTTCGTTGGTATATACAGGGTGATACACTAGAGGAGCAATTCGTGATTAGTGCTACCCCTAGTTTTTTTTATTAATAGAAATCCCAACAGCTTATTTGGTTGTACACTTTGGTGTTTAATTACATGGCGTAATTTTTTTTACCGAATCCACCCCAAAGCGTCTAAAGCTGGGCCACCATAAGTGTTACACTCGGAGATCATCCTGTTATACTCAACTGCCTCAAGGGATATTGGTCAAGAAAATATTAATACTAAAAGAAGAATTAATTATCAGATGTGAAGGTATGAGGAGGGCGCTTAACAGCTAATGAAATAGAAAAGGTGATGGTTATATTCTGAATAGTGACAATGTACAGTTTTAGATATAGCTACATGTGAAATATTGCCATCTAGAAGTGATTCTCCACACCTCAGTACATCTAAAATATTGCCATCTAGCAATTGTGATTCTGCACAACCCAGTACATCTAAAATATTGCTATCTAGCAGTTGTGTGTCATCCAAAAATTAAATAATTGTTTATTTCTAGCTGGTAAATTACTCTGAAAGTGCCATGATAAGGTGCTCAATATACAATATTATTAAAGAACATTTTAATCTTCATCCCCATAAACTTGTAGTGGAATGGTTAGGGGGCATGGGGATCATACATACTCCCAGAAGAAATATTGTGGAGGAATTGGTCAAGAAAATGTTAATACTAAAAGAAGAATTAATTGCCAGATGTGAAGGTATGAGGAGGGCGCTAACAGCTAATGAAATAGAAGAGGTAATAGTTATATTCTGAAGAGTGACAATGTACAGTTTCAAATATGGCTACATGTAAAATATTGCCATCTAGAAGTTGTGATTCTGCACAACCCAGTACATCTAAAATATTGCTATCTAGCAGTTGTGTGTCATCCAAAAATTAAATAATTGTTCATTTCTAACCGGTACATTACTCTTAAAGTGCCATGATAAGGTGCTCAATATACAATATTATTAAAGAACATTTTAATCTTCATCCTCATAAACTTGTAGTGGAATATGACAGGGAAAATTGAAAAGCCTCTCCATCTTCGTGTTGCACCTGTAGAAGGATTTTTTGCAAGGCAAGGCACTTTTTCTTCAATAAAAAAAAATTATTTTCTTTTTCAGGTTCGGGGGCATGGGGATCATACATACTCCCAGAAAAAATATTGTGGAGGAATTGGTCAAGAAAATGTTAATACTAAAAGAAGAATTAATTGCCAGATGTGAAGGTATGAGGAGGGCGCTAACAGCTAATAAAATAGAAGAGGTAATAGTTATATTCTGAATAGTGACAATGTACAGTTTCAGATATAGCTACATTTAAAATATTGCTATCTAGCAGTTGTGATTCTGCACAACCCAGTATATCTAAAATATTGCTATCCAGCAGTTGTGTGTCATCCAAAAATCAAATAATTGTTTATTTCTAGCTGGTAAATTACTCTGAAAGTGCCATGATAAGGTGCTTAATATACAATATTATTAAAGAACATTTTAATCCTCATCCCCATAAACTTGTAGTGGAATATGGCAGAGGGGAAATTGAAGATCCCCTCCATCTTCACGTTGCACCTGTAGAAGGATTTTTTGCAAGGCAAGGCAGTTTTTCTTTTCAATTAAAAAAAAAATGCATTTTCTTTTTCAGGTTCGGGTGCATGGGGATCATACATACTCCCAGATGAAATATTGTGGAGGAATTGGCCAAGAAAATGTTAACACTAAAAGAAGAATTAATTGCCAGATGTGAAGGTATGAGAAGGGGGCTAACAGCTAATGGAAAGAAGAGGTAATAGTTATATTCTGAATAGTGACAATGTACAGTTTCAGATATGGCTACATGTAAAATATTGCCATCTAGAAGTTGTGATTCTCCACACCTCAGTACATCTAAAATATTGCCATCTAGCAGTTGTGATTCTGCACAACCCAGTACATCTAAAATATTGCTATCTAGCAGTTGTGTGTCATCCAAAAATTAAATAATTGTTTATTTCTAGCTGGTAAATTACTCTGAAAGTGCCATGATAAGGTGCTTAATATACAATATTATTCAAGAACATTTTAATCCTCATCCCCATAAACTTGTAGTGGAATATGGCAGAGGGGAAATTGAAGATCCCCTCCATCTTTGCGTTGCACCTGTAGAAGGATTTTTTTGCAAGGCAAGGCAGTTTTTCCTTTCAATAATAAAAAATTCATTTTCTTTTTCAGGTTCAGGGGCATGGGATAATACATACTCCCAGAAGAAATATTGTGGAGGAATTGGTCAAGAATATGTTAATACTAAAGGAAGAATTAATTGCCAGATGTGAAGGTATGAGAAGGTCGCTAACAGCTAATGAAATAGAAAAGGTAATAGTTATATTCTGAATAGTGACAATGTACAGTTTCAGATATGGCTACATGTAAAATATTGCCATCTAGAAGTTGTGATTCTGCACAACCCGGTACATCTAAAATATTGCTATCTAGCAGTTGTGTGTCATCCAAAAATTAAATAATTGTTTATTTCTAGCTGGTAAATTACTCTGAAAGTGCCATGATAAGGTGCTCAATGTACAATATTATTAAAGAAGATTTTAATCCTAATCCCCATAAACTTGTAGTGAAATATGGCAGAGGGAAAATTGAAGATCCCCTCCATCTTCGCGTTGGACCTGTAGAAGGGTTTTTTGCAAGGCAAGGCAGTTTTTTTTTGTCAATAAAAAAAAATGCATTTTCTTTTTCAGGTTCGGGGGCATGGGTATCATACATACTCCCAGGAGAAATATTATGGAGGAATTGGTCAAGAAAATGTTAATAGGTACTAAAAGAAGAATTGATTGCCAGATGTAAAGGTATGAGGAGGGCGCTAACAGCTAATGAAATAGAAGAGGTAATAGTTATATTCTGAATAGTGACAATGTACAATTTCAGATATGGCTACATGTAAAATATTGCCATTCAGAAGTTGTAATTCTCCACAACCCAGTACATCTAAAATATCGCCATCTAGAAGTTGTGATTCTCCACAACCCAGTACATCTAGAATATTGCCATCTAGAAGTTGTGATTCTGCACAACCCAGTACACCTAAAATGTTGCTATCTAGCAGTTGTGTGTCATCCAAAAATTAAATAATTGTTTATTTCTAGCTGGTAAATTACTCTGAAAGTGCCATGATAAGGTGCTCAATATACAATATAATTAAAGAACATTTTACTCCTCATCCCCATAAACTTGTAGTGGAATATGGCAAAGGGGAAATTGAAGACCCCCTCCATCTTCGCGTTGGACCTGTAGAAGGGGTTTTTGCAAAGCAAAGCAGTTTTTTTTTTTTTTTCAATTTAAAAAATGCATTTTCTTTTTCAGGTTCAGGGGCATGGGTATCATACATACTCCCAGAAGAGCTTACCAATACATACTAACTTTATTCATATCACAGTGGACAATAAAATGGACGATAAAACGCGTCTTGTAAGAAAAATAACTATTACAACTCAGTAATTGCAATAATAGTCCGAACTTTTATAGGATTTATGAATGAAACATTCTGTCTCCTGAGTTGTAATGTCTTTAGGCGCCAGAAATTTTAACACGCCTGGAATAAGTAGTATGAGTTATAGTGATGGTAGGTCGATACTTTAGGTTTCGAGTTAATCCGATTGACAATAATTATTTCAGCCACTCATTTAGCATTTGTTGAGCAGCCAGCCAACAAATTTCCTTTCAGATATAAGTCTGAAAAGCTTGTTACCCATGATTGCCTTAAAGGTTTAACTTCTGATGGTACAAGAAAGCCAAATTATCCTACTGTTGAGGTGATAAAAGAAATCCGATGTCATCCAAAAACTCTGGAAGTGCCATGGCCCATGATAAGGTGCTCAATATACAATATTATTAAAGAAGATTTTAATCCTCATTCCCATAAACTTGTAGTGGAATATGGCAGAGGGGAAATTGAAGATCCCCTCCATCTTCGCGTTGGACCTGTAGAAAGGTTTTTTGCAAGGCAGTTTTTTTTTTTTTTTTTTTTTTTCAATAAAAAAAATGCATTTTCTTTTTCAGGTTCAGGGGCATGGGTATCATACATACTCCCAGAAAAAATATTGTGGAGGAATTGGTCGAGAAAATGTTAATAGAATAGAATAGAATAGAATAGAATAGAATAGAATAGTAGCTTTATTTGAAATTAAGTTTTTACAATACATATTACAGCATTACAAAATAACATGAAATGAAATGGCGTCACAAAACAATATACTTATAAATTACATATCCAAGTAATCTTTCACACAATATGGTTCTATGTCTATTAACAATTTCTTGGTTTTATTTTTAAATTCCTTGTAGTTTTCTATTATTTTAAAGTCGATTGGTAATTTATTAAATATTTTAATACAGTTGTAAGATGGATTTTTTTCACTTAAAGTTAATCTATGAATAGGATAATAAATATCTGTGGTCCTTGTTTTGTATGTGGTGTTAGTGTTATTTATTAAAAATTCATTTTTGTTTTTGTGCAAATATGAAAGGCACTCGTGTATGTATAGACCATAAACTGTTAAAATACCCAACTCCCTGAATTTGCCTCTACAGGAGTCTCTGAAACTCATGTTAAGCAATAACATGTTATTCGAACAATATCAATTATTAACGGTCGTGATCCATAAAATAAGTTAAGCAATAACCTGATAGTTCGCTTGTGGGCTACAAAGACTGATTGTGTTGAAGAACTAACTCTCCAGAAAATGATACCGTACCTCATCCAAGACTCAAAATTTGCATAGTAAAGGATTTTTTTAACTTTGTCTTCTACATATTTGTTTAGTAGGGTAGACCGGGGACAAAAGTAACAGGGTACAATAGTAGCAGCAGCTCTAACTTTCGAACGTTAGTGGCAACCGCGCTTTTGCTCGTGCAGGTCGATGCGTCTACTCAATACGCACTCATATTCTAGTTACCGGCCATCTTAGACGCGGTTCATGTGGTGCGGCAAATCGAATGTGTTTTCGGCAGTGAAAAGTAAATATTTACGTAAGTACAAAAACTGAAAATATGCTTTCCGATTAGATTTATTCTTTTTATAAACTCTCCTAATATGATTAAGGGACTATTACTCTATATTTCAGTGCATTTATGGATCAAAAATATTTTGGATAGAACCTAAAAATGGTGTTTGATTATACAAATTTCTTTCGGGGATAATTGTAACAGTAACACCTGGGGACAGTTGTAACGTGTTACAAACGTCCCCGGTATTACCATTATTATACAAAATACATTTATAGCATGTGTTTTGCGTTTCAGGATGCCTCGCACAAGGCAAAGGAAGACAGAAAGAGGCAAGAAGGATCTCTCAATTTACAAGCAAGCTTACAGTGAAGTAACAAATGATGGTTTGTCTATTCGTGCTGCAGCCAAAAAATACGATCTTTGCCACGTTTCACTTATGCGATATGGTCGCAAAACAACAACAATTGAAGAAGCAAAAGTCAGTATGGGGTACAGAAGCTGCAATCGCATATTCAGCACAGAACAAGAAAAACTTATGGTGAATTACATTATTAGAGCAGCTGAAATTTATTATGGATTTCCACCAAAAGAAATAAGGAAGTTAGCATATGAACTAGCTGTAAAATATGAGATAAAAAGGCCTAACAAGTGGGATGTGAATAAGATGGCAGGAGAAGACTGGTTCACCTCATTTATGAAACGGAACCAAGAATTGTCTATCCGATGTGCTCAACCGACTAGTCTGTCTAGGGCTACTAGTTTTAATGCCGCGAATGTCAGCTTGTTTTTTGACAATTTGCAAAAAGTTTTAGACAGAGATCATTTTGAAGCCAAAGACATCTATAACGTCGATGAAACGGGGGTTACAACGGTTCAAAAACCTAGTCGGGTCGTTGCCAGGAAGGGCATAAGACAAGTGGGAGCGATGACATCGGGTGAACGAGGAACACTTGTCACAGTAACAGTAGCAATAAATGCCATTGGAAATTCAACACCGCCGATGTTCATATTCCCTAGAATTCGATATCATGACCATTTTATTAGGGACGGCCCCATCGGATCAATAGGGGCAGGTAATTCCAGTGGATGGATGCAAGAAAAAGAGTTTCTACAGTTTCTAGAACATTTCCAAAGACACACTCATTCTTCAAACACACAAAAAGTTCTTCTGTTGCTGGATAACCATTTTTCACACATATCAATACAGGCTTTGGATTTTTGTAAAAGCAATGGCATTGTCGTACTTTCTTTCCCACCTCATTGTTCTCATAAACTTCAGCCACTGGATCGGTCGGTATATGGCCCCTTCAAAAAAGCGGTTAATGCTGCATGCGATAACTGGCTTAGGAATAATCCTGGAAAGACGATGACTATTTACAATATCCCAGAAGTTGTAAGGCTGTCATTACCTTTGGCACTTACACAAACTAATATTCAAGCTGGCTTTAGTGCTACCGGTATCGTACCATTTAACCGAAATAAGTTTACAGAAATTGATTTTTCACCGTCCTACGTGACAGACCGGCCGGAACCTATTCCCGAAGAGGAACCTAACAGAGCAGTCAATGAAAATCCTCCTACTCCCACAGATTACCGAAATGAGACGCCAGAGCCAATTCCCTCTACAAGCACCAATATTCAGACTCTAGAATCAAAACCCTTAACCAAAGCCCAAACAAATCCTGATCAAATGATTCAAGGTTCTAATCCACCAGACAAAGCAAACAATTTTGAAATTGGGTTTTCACCTGAAAGTGTAAGACCTCTGCCTAAAGCCCCTCCGAGAAAAAAACCTTCTAATTATAGAAAAAAACGAAAATCTGCTATCTATACAGACACTCCAGAAAAAAATGCCATACAAATGGAAGTCGATAATAAAAAACAGAAACAGGTCAAGAAAAATTTTGGCTTTGAAGTTGAAAAAAATAAACATGTAGAAAAGACAACCGTGCAAAAATCAAAAAATAAAAAGCAAGCCATAATCGAACCAGGATCAGACACAAGCAGCGACGAAGAGGAAACCTATTGCCTAGTGTGTTTAGAGACTTACAGTTCAAGTAAAGCAGGAAAAAGGTGGGTGCAGTGCGGTGAGTGTAAAGGCTGGTCTCATGAAGATTGTACCAAGGGTGATGTTTTGTATACTTGTCCCCCGGCCTACCCTACTCTGAGTGCAAAACAAACACCATTCAATTTTTTCACTAAACTTTCAATGTACGTTGACCATTTTAGAAATTCGTCAATTATAACACCTAAAAAAAATACTAAAAGAAGAATTAATTGCCAGATGTGAAGGTATGAAGAGGGCGCTAACAGCTAATGAAATAGGAGAGGTAATAGTTATATTCTGACTAGTGACAATGTACAGTTTCAGATATAGCTACATGTAAAATATTGCCATCTAGAAGCTGTGATTCTCCACAACCCAGTACATCTAAAATATTGCCATCTAGCAGTTGTAATTCTGCACAACCCAGTACATCTAAAATATTGCTATCTAGCAGTTGTGTGTCATCCAAAAATTAAATAATTGTTTATTTCTAGCTGGTAAATTACTCTGAAAGTGCCATGATAAGGTGCTCAATATACAATATTATTAAAGAACATTTTAATCCTCATCCCCATAAACTTGTAGTGAAATATGGCAGAGGGGAAATTGAAGATCCCTTCCATCTTCGCGTTACACCTGTAGAAGGATTTTTTGCAAGACAAGGCAGTTTTTCTTTTCAATAAAAAAAAATGCCTTTTTTTTCAGGTTCGGGGGCATGGGGATCATACATACTCCCAGAAGAAATATTGTGGAGGAATTGGTCAAGAAAATGTCGATACAAAAAGAAGAATTAATTGCCAGATGTGAAGGTATGAGGAGGGCGCTAACAGCTAATGAAATAAAAGAGGTTATAGTTATATTCTGAATAGTGACAATGTACAGTTTCAGATATGGCTACATGTAAAATATTGCCATCTAGAAGTTGTGATTCTCCACAACTCAGTACATCTAAAATATCGCCATCTAGCAGTTGTGATTTTGCACAACCCAGTACATCTAAAATATTGCTATCTAGCAGTTGTGTGTCATTAAAAAATTAAATAATTGTTTATTTCTAGCTGATAAATTACTCTGAAAGTGCCATGATAAGGTGCTCAATATACAATAATATTAAAGAACATTTTAATCCTCATCTCCATAAACTTGTAGTGGAATATGGCAGAGTGGAAATTGAAGATCCCCTCCATCTTCGCGTTGCACCTGTAGAAGGATTTTTTCAAGGCAAGGCAGTTTTTCTTTTCAATAAAAAAAATGTATTTTCTTTTTCAGGTTCGGGGGCATGGGTATCATACATACTCCCAGAAGAAATATTGTGGAGGAATCGGTCAAGAAAATGTTAATACTAAAAGAAGAATTAATTGCCAGAAGTGAAGGTATGAGGAGGGTGCTAACAGCTAATGAAATAGAAGAGGTACTAGTTATATTCTGAATAGTGACAATGTACAGTTTCAGATATGGCTACATGTAAAATATTGCCATCTAGAAGTTGTGATTCTCCACAACCCAGTACATCTAAAATATTGCCATCTAGAAGTTATGATTCTCCACAACCCAGTACATCTAAAATATTGCCATCTAGCAGTTGTGATTCTGCACAACCCAGTACATCTAAAATATTGTTATCTAGCAGTTGTGTGTCATCCAAAAATTAAATAATTGTTTATTTCTAGCTGGTAAATTATTCTGAAAGTGCTATGATAAGGTGCTCAATATACAATATTATTAAAGAACATTTTAATTCTCATCCCTATAAACTTGTAGTGAATTATGGCAGAGG